TCTCTCAGAGATTTTGGAGCACAACAGGAGCACAGACCAAAGGAAATCAGCTGGGAATTAAGTTTGCTGGAGCTCTTGTGAAATATCGAGTGTTTTTTTCTATGCCTTGGATAGATGCCATGTATGCAGCATATGCAAGAAACATTTGCATAGTAATTTGTGCTGTAAGAAGAAAGGCCCTTCCTGACTAGCTGGAAGCTTCAGGGTTAGGGAAAAGAAAAAAGGTGAGGTCAATATAATGAAAACAAAAGAAATGGGTGCCTGGTAAGAGGACAGTCAACATTTCAAATGCTGCATGCCTCTGAACACCACCACAGGGACATGAAACCGAGATTCCTCAAGTGTTACACACTTCCCCCGCCAGCTGCCTGGGAAGGCGAACACACCGCCTACCTGGAGCGCTCACAGAGGCAACATCTGCTGTTTTTTACAGAGAAGAAAAAGAGTATTTCTGGCGGAAGGAACTCATGATTCCTCGGGTGCCAAAAACTTGAGTCCAGAACGTACCCAGGAAAGAAAACAGTACATCCTGGAAGTGTAACAGGATGACCCTCTATCATAAACCTCAGTTGTTCTGACTGCATTACAGGGATGACAAAGAAATGGGCTGATCTGAAGCAACGCTTTTTCAAGGGACATGAAAGACAGAGAGCAACAGCAGTTCAGATACTACTGTATCCATAAAGACTACACAGCAGGGGGAGGGCAAGCTGCAATCATCTTCTCTTAACTCCAAATGAACTTCCAGTTCTGTGGTTGGCAAGGTCCTACGTTCTCAAATTTTCTGACCACTCACATCCTTTTTTAGGCAGGTGTGTTACTCATGAAAATTCATGCCATGTATTTGAGCCACCACAACAGGGAAGGTCTTCATACGTGGGAATTCAGAAGGTGGGAGTGAGTCTAGTACTTTGTACAAATCTAGGCTTTGATTATGGAAAATGACAACAAATCTCCTCAGGCGTGGTGATACAAGCTGGAATGGCAGAGCTCAGGTTCCTCCCACCTTCAACCTTCACAAGGAAGAAGCAGATAAGGTGAATATGAACTATCACCATGTTTCTGACAGCCTGGGAGGATTCAGTGCCAAACAGCCCAAATTTTGACCACGCCTGCCTTTACTATAGTATGAAGAGGCTGGTAATGCTGTAAAAATGCTTGTAACATGTTTCAGTGGGGGGGCTGGTTCATGGTCCTGGTTTACTCACCACATGGACCCTGAAGGCAGCGTTTCTGTTACAAGGTTCGTCTAAAACCCAGGAATGATCCATCACTAGAATACATGGCTCTTATTTCATTTTTCCTCAGAAGATGAGGTGCATCTTTGAAAACCCTCTGGTTCCTTTCCGGGGAGAATACAGTGCTAGGGTACTATAACAGCTTTTGAATGGCACTATTTTGGAAACTGAAGGAAGGAAAAAAATCAGTCTTATTGTGGTTATCCTTGGTCAAATGTTTTTTACTAGCTGAGCACCAGTGCAGGATGAGCAGAAAACTTACTGAAAAAAATCAGTTCAACAGGTATCAACAGCTGTGATGATTTGCAATGAAGCATAAAGTCTTATTCTAACACATTTTGCTAGCGAGAGAACATTTTTTTTTTTTTTTTGAAGAAAATATGGCACATTCTGTGTCCTGGCAGTATATTCAAGTAGCACTTTGCCCTATATGAAACTCACAGAGGAGCCTAGGAGGGGGCCCAACATCATCTTCAATGCAGGTATCATTTAATCCAAATCCAAAAATGCTTCTTAAGCTCAGCCCTATTAGCAGATTGCTGTCTATGGATACTTTGCTCAGAATCACACATAGCACTGTTATACCACTTTGAGGACAGTCTCTTCTATGCCAGCCAAAAGCAGGACTCGCACTGAAAAATCTGAAAAGAACAACTTCTCTGTGTAGTTATGTAAGGCTTTTTTTAAAAATGATCTTTCAACCCAGGCTTACAGTGTTAACAGTACATTAATGGTGTTTCCAACAGTGTGCAGATCTCCCCAAAAGACATTGGAAGATATTTTGTCAAATTAGTTCCTCAACATCACTAAGTCTGGGAAAAAAGCGCAGATCAGTAGTTAGGCCTGTGCCCTTCTATCCTAGTGGAGGTCGGAATAGCGTTTCTGCTGATAATAGCTTCAATCAAGCAGTTCTTACTCCAAAGAAAAGTCTTCCTAAAACTCAAGACAAGCCTTCAATTACACAATCACGTACTATTCTGGCTTTAAGATCCCCAGAACAGACTGGATGGTGTGTCCTGAATGAAGAAGAATGAAATGGTTTTAAGTCATTTTCTGAAACAGGAGTAGAAAAGAATGCTAGTTTTCTATTGAGTTTTTAAAATGAGGTTAACTTTCTCTGCGGACAACAGAACACAAAACCATTTAAAATACCTGATCAGTATTACATAACGCTTTTTTAAAACTTTCCCCGTTTGCTCCAGCTTCAACTGGGGTATGAACCAAAGTCAGAGGAAGTCTTTTTGCTGACAGCAGGGGGCTCTGAATTAGGATCTCATTGCTTGCAACCCAGCTTGTGTGCTAAATGAATTCAGAAAGGGGCTTTAACGGCCTCTTTCACTTAATGGTCTCCTGAGCTGTGCAGTGAGAGACAGAGGGCTTTTTTCCCCCTCTTTTTGGAGGATGTTTTGGAGGACAGCACAGGACAGTGCAGCCATAGCAAGTGTAATTTCCAAGAGGCAGAAACAGCTGTCACACAGATGTGTTACTTTTCAGAAGAGAAACGTTCTTCAAATGTTCTCCAAAACAGAAAAGCACTTACAGAAAGCTATTCCAGTAACAACCTGGATTAGGAACTTACAAACCTTAATAAGAATATGTGTGGACACAGTTTGAAGAAACGGCAAGGGGACAGAACCAGTTTCGGAGAACAATTGACACACAGAGCTTTACAGACTGCATCGTTGTTGAGAAATTGTATCTTAACCGTAGTACTGGCAAACAAGCACTTTCAACAGACAGACACTCTAACTGGTGTAGATGAGGTGATAAGGGATAGGAATACTGCTGTCATCCTATCACTCACCGTCCCCCCCGCTCTGGGATCATAGGATTAACACAGCCCTGCTGCACAGGGGGATGTTTTATGGGCTGTTGTGCTGCCCCATAACTTCAGCTCTATTGAGGAAGGCTGGAGTGGAGCTGAAGTGCCGCGCAATGGCCAGCACCATTACGGGGGAAGACAACAGGAGCTGCAGGGCACCAGTTGTTTGTAAGCTTGTGCTAGCTTTCATAAAGCATACGATGGCATGCCTTGATATGATCAGACTAAGTAACAACATTCCCTCTACATGGCAGAGAGAGACTACATTAAACACACATTAGTACATCTGCCACTAAACTGTCTTCCACAGTCCAGCATGTGTTTATTCATGCTCTTACCAGAGCCCAAAATTGTATCCTCAGCTGCATGGGCAAGGAATAAATCTCAAAGGATGCTGCCCTGAATTCCTTGAAATGGCAGTCACCACTTGGCAGTCAACTGATCATGACTCAGACATCAGTTGATGTGTCCAGAGGGGAACCAGAGAGAAACAATGAAGGAGAAGCCTGGAAGCACAGTCCTTAATGCCAAATACAGGTTTATGGAGAAATCTATCTGGACTGTGGTGATTAACTGACCCAAATATATAACTAGTGGATCTTCATTGTCCTGTATCAATAAAATCCCAACTTCTGTAAGCAGACCTAAAACCGTGATGGTTGGTGACCAGATCTTCACAGTCCTCAAGTAACTCTCAAGTAACACTCCATCTGTAGGGGAAGAGAGAACCCAGCCAACACTGGAGAAAAGGATGTAGGGATAATGGATGAAAGGATGAATGGATGAAGTGAAAAGGAAGAGCTCCTAACACCTGGGGAAGGCACTTATGCATGTGTACTGCTTTTGACATGACACAAGATGAGGTGAGGTCATATTCACAGGTCATGGCAAAATGAAGCAGCTCTAACACTCCCCATCACAATCCACACGACACCAAGCCTGAAGAAACAATTCACTTGAGACGCAGCTCTTTCAGATAAAATGCAGCTTACTCAACTAATCAGAGCGTCTTTTCCCAAACACAGTGAGCAACGCTTAATCAGGAACATAATGTCATGTGTGAAGGACATTTTGTTAAAAATACACTGCATGTACTGAAGAACTCTATTTTTTTTCATATGATGTGACATAGAATGGGCATTGAACCAAAACGCCACAGAAGTATGCGGTTTATGCTATCTCACTGGACTACCAAACATTTAACATTGAGAAAGTATTGCATATATATAGCAGAAGATGCCTAAATGTCCCTTCACACTGGTACCACGATTGCTTTTCTTCCATGTTACCACGGCTGTTAAAAAGCCTTAATAGAGAGCTAATAACACAAGTCATTATAAAACATCTTGGAAAATATGTACGAGCTTTTTTGTTACTCCTTCTCCCCTGTCTTCTAATCAAGATCTTCATATTGAGCACAGTTTTGCGTTTTCTTAGCAGCGTAAATTAGAAGCAACTCTATTCAAGTCAATAAAATTACTCCAACATGAAAAAGGAATCAGCCATCTGCAAGAAACAGAGTCTAACAGGTAATTTTCCACTGACAGCTCCTACCATAAAACAGGTTACAGAGATTACTCTTTTATCTAACACTGAAAGTAAACAATTAATGCAGAATGTACAATGTCTGTAAAGACAGCATGTTCACTACTTCTGCCCTTTATATTTAATTATTTTCATCTTAGTAAGCAGCCAGTTAAGTAAGACTACCATCAGGCTGTAGATGGAGCTTATTCATCATGCAAAACAGGCAGCTGAACATCTCTATTTATTTATGCATTATTTTACCTTTTGTTCCCAACTTGGAAAGCATGTGGAATCTATGAGGCATTTTCACGCATCATTTCTTGCGGGAGAACGTCAAGTAACCTTTTATGCCCTCAGGCAAACTTCTCCTACCTGATCTCAATAACTGTCCATATCAAAATAATTTTTCATACCTTGTGTAAGCAGCTGGAGGTTTCGGACTTCTTCTCTCACCTTCAGCTGAAGGACTTGCTGCAGAATGTGCTGTCGCAGGCTTTCCTGGGCAATGCCCATTCGTTCAAGCTTTTTGTCAGTAAGTCTCAGCAAAGCACGGCCTGGATGCAAAAGGCAAAAAGAAAAATCACCCAAGGATTTCCATTAATGCAATATTCTCACTCTGACAGGATAATTTGCTACAGAAAAAACTCAGCCCTGAAATACCTTGCTCTGTGAGGTTATTGTTTCATCAGTTAGGTACTTCCTTACTGTCACAGATCTATGTTTCACTCCTCCATTTTCTTTTGATTTTTTGTATTGTTTTGGTGCTCTGTGAGACATTTAGGCATGTAAAATACGTATCTTGTGCCATTTTAGACAACCAACTGCTGTTCTTAAGTGCCAGCTGGTCTGCCACAAGCAGGATATCCCCTATAAGTGCACAGTTGGTCCAGGTGCCTAAATAGACCCTCACCTTGAAAACAAGCATCTACATTACCATCAAGAAACCACCAGTGAAAGTGAATTTTACCAATTTAAGATATGCTGAGGATGAATATTGTTCTAATTCAGATATATCTATGGTATAATAGCCCCATTTCTCAGGAGGGCCCTGTACCTCATGGTCCAACCTTCCAAATCCCTCTCAACAGTAACCTATCACAGCAAAACAGAAGAAAGAGCCAGAGATTTCCCTTCACACTATCGGTTATTTACACTATATTTTATACTATAAAAAGACATTTGTCCAACTATAAGGAGCCTATAGTCTTTGCAGGCAATCACTCCCAGTTCGTGACTTATCTATCTTTACCATTAGGGTAATGTTGAACCACGGTCCCAAGCAGATTGTAGATGTTAAAAAACCCAAACAATCCACACTCCCCAGATTTTTCTAGTGAAACTCTGACCTTATCTTTTGGGTATCGCTATGCTAAGTAAACAGGAGGAAGGCAGCACGCTGGCTGAGCCAACACTAAGGAAGTATTTGGACCAAGGAGAGAACCAAAGCATCAAGCAAAGCTTTACCTTAAGAAGAAAACCAAAATTTACTTCCTTTGGTCTTCACCACTTCTGTGAGCTAGTACAGGGAGGAGTGCCCTGCAGTCCTCTACTCACCCTTGATTCCCAGTATATACATTTGCTATCCAAAGGTGCCCTGGCCAATACTGGCAAATCACACTGGAGCTCTGTCAATAGCACCTTGGAAAACGGCATGATGTTTGGTTCAACTTTTTTTGGGTCAACAGACCCAAATTTTTACCTCCTCTAGTTCTGACTGTAAGCACTTTTAAATTATTAAAAATCCCTTCTTTCATTTCTCAGGCTTTATTCTGAAAGCAGAGGAAGATAGTGAAGAGCATGTTCCTCCCTCTGCAACACAGCAGCCTCTGTGCTACCATTACTGTGGCTTTTGGATGAATGGTACAATTTAGCTCATCAGAAAGTGTTACTCAACACAGCAAGATAAGGCCCTTATTCAATCTCTTTCCTTACAAAACAGCAATGAGTACAGAATTTTTATGACTATTTTAATTAAAAAATTTAAGATAAATGCCAAGAATTTAAAGGGGCGCATAATATTTGCTCCAAACCAAGCAGTTAGCAGTATAGCCTTCACTAACTGCTAGATTTCATTCACAAGCGGTTCTGTGAAGCGGTTAGTGGGATCTTGATACAATGCAATATAAAATACTGGGATATTACTATTAACAAAGCAAGATGTTATTGATCAGATAAAAAATGACAGGGGTCATATATTTTCTGGCCTTCCATGTTTCTCAAGCACTACATGCTATGGAGGATGACCTTTTGATTAGGAAAACTTTCTTTGGAATCATAAACAAGAAGAATTCTATGGGTTAATGTAATAACAAAATATGGAAATAAGTCTCTTACAGATCCATGCCAGCTGTCCAATTCCCCTGGTGATACAGACAGTAATAATGACTTCAATTTTTATATCGTCTTATCACACTAAAACATCTTAAAGCAATTTATAAAGGATGTACAGCAGTCCGAGGGTAAGGTCTGTAATGTCAATCTATCAACTGGAAGCAAACAAAAAATAAACAAGTCATCAGCTTAAAGAGTGCCAACACGCATGTGATCTTAGGGCAGGGAGTCAGCAGGACAGACAGAGGCCATGCATCTCATCCAGTGCCCTCCACCTCTTTCTGGCCATGGATATAGTCATTAGTCTTTACTTCCTCTGGGTAACTCTTTATTTCATATTCAAATCGCTTTTCTACCCCAATCACTGCCTTTGGAAATTGAGTGTGCACAAAACAGAGACGTCTCTTTTCAACTCCTGGCATGCCAGTTCCTCTGCGGCTTAGGCTCAAAGCACAACACCATTGGAAAATACTGTCTTTGACTCACACTATCCACAGAAGCTTGCATAGGTTGCCTTAAATTAACTCTTTTTTGCACCAAATCCAATGCGACATGTTGAGACAGTGATGAGGTGAGAAGGCAAACATCAAAAATGTGGAATTTCAAGAATGCAGTAAGTGACTTGAACTAAGAAAATTCAATCCTCCCCATACTTTCTTCCCCCTCAACTCACAACACCCAAGTCAGAACTGGAACGATTTTTTATTCTGGTACTAAATCATGCCTTGAAAAGATATCGCTAATGCCTGGATCAGCCACCAAAGCCAATTAGTTACTAAGACCAAGGTCCTGACAATCAGCTAATGATCTTGGATGCTTCACTGTCTTGCTTCCTGCATTGTATATATCTGAAGGAGTTATAATTTGCTGCTAAGAACTCTGCTAAGGGTTACTGAACACTGAAACCAGCTGTCCCGAGAGGATATGGAGTCTCCATCTGTGGAAATATGCAAAACCTGACTAACAAAGTCCTGAGCAACCTGCTGTAGCTGCCCCTGCTTTGAGTTGGACTAGATGATTGCCAGAGGTGCCTTCCAGCATCAGCTGTTCTGTGAGCCTGTGAAACAACCTGCACAAAGGACCTCAAAATAAAGATCTATTTTCTTTGAAAAAGAGAAGACTAATGAAGGAAATTAATAAGCATAGAGAAAAGACGGTCATTTTGGCAAGCATTATGGTTAAAACAGAGAGACAGCTATACAGTAAAAACTGGGGATAGAATCAAGAGCAAACATGTAACAAACATTTTCTAAGAGTGTACACTGATCTGTGCAAGGACACAAGTAAAGGAACTTTACCTACATCTCAGGAAAATTTCCCAACACCACAGAACCAGCGATACCTTTTAGATGTCGCAGCTACATGCATTAAAGAGACCAGGAGGTTTTTTTTCAAAAGCACCTTGACCAACAGAACCATAAAGATTGTAGCCCCAAACACCTAGGCCTTGGCTCTAGCTAACTGCAAGGCTGGAAAGCAAATGCTTTTAGAAAAACCCCACAACTCCCTCAGCATCTGTATGCATCTTTTAGCACCTAAACCCCAGCCCTCTCATACTCAGGACAGATCAGCCATGGAATGTTCTGAGACACCCCGAGGGCAGACACAGAATATAAAATACTTTCCAGCTTAATAATGGATTGATGGCCTAATTTTTTCTAATATGACTTAGCTGCTGCATATCTCATTTGATCAAGCTGGGATTAGATGAAAATTTGAACGGAGGGAGAAACATTGCATGCCACAGAACATTAATACGAGTATAAGCATTGGTCCAATGAGGTTGGCATTGGCCCTAGAGCAAGGAACGCGGCACAGGCTGCTGTTCCGAATCAGAAATGTCCGTCCCTCCCTGCACTGGTATAGCCTACTGCTCCTCTCCCCGAGGCTGTGAAGCTGCACCAGCTGCCAGTCCACAGACATCTGTGGACAGGGAGAACCTCCATTCCAGGGAGAACCTCCATCCCAGGGAGAACCTCCATTCCAGGGAGAACCTCCATTCTCTAGAGGATGCAAGGGGGAACATTGTCACTAAAGACGAGGAAAAGGCTGAGTTACTCAATGCCTTCTTTGCCTCGGTCTTTAATGGCCCGATGAGTTATCCCCAGGGTACCCTGCCTTCCGAGATGGAAGATGGGGATAATGAGTGGAATGAACCCCCCATAATCCAGGAGGAAGCAGTCTTTGACCTGCTATGCCACCTGGATATCCACAAGTCTATGGGACCGGATGGGATCCACCCAAGAGTGCTGAAGGAGCTGGCAGAGGAGCTTA